ATCACAACTGGGCAGTGTGCTAGCTAAAGGAATGACTACACTGGAAGACAACAACAAGGTGCATGCAGACTTGCTGGAGATGTCAGTGAAACACTGCTGCCTGTCAACAGCTGTAAATACTACACTTATGTGATGCTAGCATTTGTTTGTAAGAATCTACACTGTCATGATTACGTTATAAGCTGTTAAAGCTAGTTATTGCAAATATAGAAAGAAAAAAAACTGATAAAAACCACCAAATAATGATTATGTTAAGCAATATGTGATCATGTTATATTCAACAACATGTATGGTATTATTAGAAGTAGCTGCAAAAGTTGAAGATATATAAGAAACAGGTTTACTTTACCTCAGCAGTCACCTATAAATGACAGTGTGGGGGAGGTAGAACAAAGAGAGAAAGAAGGTTAAGAATGAGCAATGAAGCAATACAGTTTACACAGTACACTACATCTGTCTCATTCACAACGCAACACCAAAACTCTGCCACCCAAAGCTACCAACTTAAATGATGACACCAAATGAGTAAAGACAATTTTCGGATTAGGAACGTAATGAGACAATAGCAGAGAGCTAATACTTTAAACTACATTTGTCAAAAATATTCTGAATTATTTTATTCAGTTTTTGAACATCTCAAGGATGAGAATCAGACACAGATCCCAGAAACCCTACTCTACCATAGAGCAATGTAGCACAGTTATATTGTAGCACCATAAAAACAGTTACAAGTAACCTGTAGTTCAGTATGAGTGGGTCGTATGTGGGATCATTAATAACTAAATCACAAATAATTCAATGTCTATATATACTTGTTTGCATTTATATATTGCCACATCTGCAAACAGCTGCACTAGCATTTATCTGAAAACTTCTGTTCAAGAAAATGATGTGCACTGCTCCTATATTGAGTAAATGAGGTAACCAGAGGAAGGCAACAAGCTAAAGAATTCAGAACTACTAAATTAAGAGGGGCTGATATTTGGTCTCATTTTTGTTTCTCAAGGATGTAATAAATCTGCAGCTGAGGATTCAGAAAATTAATCCTGATTACTGGAACAATCTTTCTGCTTCTTCTTTTTTCATTAAGTCTTCTTATTATTCTCCGTCTCACTTGCTGCTTCTCGAAGCGTGAGCATTGCTGAGGCTCAAACCATAGTTATGCATGGATGTTCAACTCTACAGGCCAATGTTCGGCCCATAATCATTAAAGTATATGGCTGACTTATCTTGCAGGACATGTCTGGCTGTCCATTCTGCCTGTCCACATGTGAACTGCTGGAAAGAGACTAATTTCAGCAAGTTGTGTCATTATTTAATCTGGAACAGAATCATCGGTTTGTCCTATCAAAAGATTTACCCTTGGTCTTGACATGACTTGTGGAGTTTTATAGCTCTGGTCATTTACCAATGTTGAAAGTTTGCAAGCCTAACATTGCTTCAGTTGAGCAATACAACCTGCTAACGTTCTGGTTTTTTATATCACTCTGAAAGCAAAGCTTATAACGTGTACTTCAATACAGTTTTCTCAGCAGAACACACTATCTGGTAAACATGTGAATGCATTTGTTTGTTGTAAGTTGATCACATAAACTCTTGCACTTCCATTCTGGCTGCAGATGTCTTGCTTTTTTTTGTTTTGTTTTAGACCCTGAAAATTGATCATCCTGCTGTTTTTGTTCCCTTCTGAAGAGAGCATATTGCTATGATGGGTGTTTGGTGATGAAGTTTCCATGGAAATGGGGAGTGTTGGGCGATGTCTTCAGTGCTGTTTTTGAAACAGCTTGTTTTTGTATAGTCCAGTTTTTGAAGGCACTCAAGATCTGAAGATGTGATTTTTCTGCTGCAGACCATACTGCTGATGTGTACTCTTTTTCTTCTGCACTCATATAAAAAACAGAATACTAAGTGGGTAGCATTCAGGGCAGCCTTCGTTCCATGGATGAGGTCACTGATGAGAACAATGGAGAGGGATAAATAATAAGGACCCTTGAGGAATTCCATATGTCTTAGTGCTTTCTGACTGCAAAATCAACTGCAACCATCTGCTCATATTATCTGTTCTACATTTCAGTGATTTTCACGACCAGAACATCTTTCCACATTTTGTCAAAAGCTTAGTGCAGATCTTATCTATTTGGCATAGGCTTCCTTTTATTTTCAACTGGATCTTCAATGATCTACAACATGTACATGATTTTGTCCTTCTATGCTGTGACATTCTACATCCTCCTTGCGATGGCAGTCATTTTCTAGAGAATGATGCCAGTCTGTATCAATAATGAATAACGGGGTATAATTTAACAGCTTCAAGTAATTCTTTAATATACTGTATAGAAAATCAGTGGAAAGATTAAGAGGAATGTGTGCCCACATTTTTTCGATAATCTGAAAACTGGGCCAAAAGCTGGAAATCTCATGAAAGAGGTCCAACAAATCTTTAAAAGATCAAGAAACAATGCAGAAAAGGCCCAATATATTCACTAAATACAACTGTCCATGTGATTGTCATAAAAAAGAATAGGGAGGAAACTTGTGCTGTTTACTAAGACAACTAGCAACTGTATTTTACCAACCATTTACACTATAACACTATATATATATATATATATATATACACACACACACACACACACATATATATATATATACATATATCTATATATATATATATATATATATATATATATACACACACACACACACACACACACACACACACACACACACACACACACACACACACACACACACACACACACACACACACACACACACTATTACAATGGATCCCTAGTGTTGTATATTATTTATGTTTTTTAAACTGAAAAATAATTGAAAGTCTAATTTTCAGTAGCCCAGAGTGTTCTTATGCACTCAAAAACACTTAGATTTGGGTCTAAAGTAGATTTTAAGTAATCATATAGTGTACTTAGTTCTAAAAAATTTAAAATATAAAAATAAAATAAAAACTAAATGATACCAAAAAACAAAGAAGGGACAAGGCACACATAAAAACCCTGACGAATTAAGAAGGTAGTTGCAATGAACAATATTAAGAATTCATGATACCAGATGAAGTTACTGCGGATGACATTGTTTCTGAGCACAACAGACTTGTGTATTCAAGCAAGTCCACTGTGGGCCTCAGGGGTGCACCACAACAAAATAACTTGCACTGGATCAGTAAACACAATTTCCCATTGCAAGGATCAAAAACCCAGCCATTATAAAGTTACGGCAACAAAAGGGAAATAAAGGTAAGCACTGAGTCATGAACCTGAGACACTCTGGATGGCAGATACAAACAGCTTAGTCAGTTTCAGTGATATGTGCTTCACAGATGCACTAAGGAAAGGTATGTCGCAGATGAGGTAATACTACTCTTTTCAGTCTCAAAGACTGTAATTTTGTGTGTGTGTAAAATACATTTGCAAAGTATGAATACACAATAAATTTTAACTATGCTAGAAAGCACAACCTGAATAATATCTTTTCGAAGTAAACTGATTATGTTCAGATGTTAAAATATACTTCTTGTGAATCACTTTATTGAAGAACAGTATAATTTAAATATATTACATTCTGTCAATTTTATGCAAGAGTTTGGGACTTTGCTGCTATGTTTTTATACACTTAGCAAATATTCTATTCTATACATTCTGATTCCTCAACCTAATAAGACATAATTGCTTACTTTTGTCTAATATGCTTTGTACTGATCTAATAGGTCAGTAATGCTCTGTACTGAAGGTAAAGGTCTGTATTTACCTGCACATATTAAACTCCCTCCCTTCAGCTACACAGCAAGTCTTAAACATGCAACAATTGCCAATATGCACCTGATGTAAGATAACGGCACATAATGCGATGCTGCAATTAATTCAGTTAGCAATTTGTTTCATTCCTAATTTCATACAAACAATTATCAAATGCTTTTCAAACAACGGACAAATTAAGAAACTGATTAAGCTATCTGATGAGCACATAAAAAGCAGTTCGCTGTCACACCAACACAAAATGCACAATAACATACTATTTAATCATGTTTATAATTTTCTTGTGTTTGTACACACAAGGGGGTAATTGCATGACAAGAAAACAATGTTAATAAAGGCAATACACTCTGAAACTGCCACTCTTAATGTTGACAGATTTTACTCAGATGAACAGAAAAGCAGCCAAAAAGTCTGAATGCTTTTAAATGCAAAATAATAAGAGAATAAATTACTACAAGAACGGATAAAGATAGGTTGTGACTTATGATGGTCAAACCTTCACAGAGATAGACCTGCTTAAACTGGTCACACAGAAAATGTCTGCTGTTAATAAGGAGACAGTTACTTGCTATCAAGATGTTACAGTGAGAGTAGTATTAACTGCTGCTACTTATGTATATAAGTCAAGTGAACCTGTGCCACTCAACAGGTGAACAAAATCACTGCTCTTACTTTGTAAAGGGCCATAACTGTTAATAGTCAAGAAACTCAAATGTCAATAAGCATGCGGTAACAGAATGCCAGAATGCCAAACTGAAACAAACAATCAACAAAATAAAGTGATAATAATCAATACTGAATTATCAAATGGGATACCCAAAAAGCTTCATTCATAGTTCACAGCTTTATGAAATGGAAATCTGAATTCAATAGGTTCACTTTTTGTCTTCTGTGTTGCTTCGCCAAAGACTTCTTGTCCTATTCACATGTACAATACATTACAATGACTATTAAATCACCTTATTTGTTTCCCCACAAATTATGAAAACAAAACGGGTGGAGGGAGAAAGAAACTATAAAGCGGTCCTAAAATAACAGTAATTCAGGCAATAAACAGCTAGATTACCATACAATTCAGAGAATCATAAAAGTATTAACAAGGAACCATGACAGATGATAACACATTTCAATATCTTATGATCTACTGTTTAACTGGGCTGAAACTTTTAACAACAACGATCATAGACAATGGAAACAACAGAATGTTATCGTGAAACTTACTGAGCCAAAGCGATGCAGACAGAGATAGGCCTCTGTTGAGGGGTTCATTCCAATCTGCTCTAGTTTCCAGTTCATCACCTGAAAAAAATGAGACGATCTTATTTGATTCGATCTTCAGTATACTCAATGTTCTTTAAAAAAAAACTGTTTTCACTGACATATTCTAAAAGCTGTTCTTTTTCAACATTGAAAGGAGTTCACAGGGAATATATCCAAACCGTATTTTTTTACAACAGTGTCAACTGGTCATGGTACAATTGAGATTGGTGAATGATACTGTGCAGATTTGTGGGACTGAATCAGTGAGTGTATAACATCAGAGAAACAGTCACAAAACACTGAGAATGAATGAAAGCACAATATGTATTCAAGTCTATTAAACCATTCACACAGCCATTCTTCTCTGTAGCAACATGTGAGTCACAAACTATCTCCTAAAACACTTTCCTGACCAACAATCCAGGGCATTACTGTCTCCCATTACCAAGAGTGTTTAAATATTTTTTCAAAATGATTGGTTTTCTAAAAAACTTCATAAAATATTCAAAAAATGAACGTAGAGTTGTGAAACCTTCAGAGCATCATTATGGATGGTTGCTACATATGAAAAAAAAAAAAGATATATTATGCAAATACATCACATGATCATGGCTATTTATAGAAATTTCAGGAGATGTTCTAAAACATCTTTTTGAAAAAAAAAATATATTATCAAATACAACACACGATTATGGCTATTTATAGAAATTTCAGGAGATGTTCTAAAACATCTTTTTCCAATTCTTAGTGAATTTGTTCAATATCAATGCAATAAAATGTTAAGGACATGGTTGATGATAAATAAAATAAGCTAAATAGGAGCAAATTTTTTACGTTTATTGTGTTTGTCATGTTACAATGAACATTTGTGAATGCTTGATTATAAAAGCACCTCTAGTTGAAGTCATTGACCAGAGCAGTGTCAACTAAAAATTAATAAATAATATAATGGCAGGTAGCAATTAAAGGATCTGGGTGGGTAGGGGTAGTTTTCACCCAGCTGGCCAAAGTGATCGACACCCACTATACTGTTGTTGCATTTTTCTGCAAGAACTGGCTTATTTATTATTCTGCCCTCAAGAATTTTGACTTTTCCTAGCTGTCTTGTCAATAACACCAATGAATTAAACAGTAGATATCAGGTGAACTATCTTAGTGTCATGACAGGTAACGCCCAACATGCCTTTATATTTTGTCACACAAATCAGGACCATCTGCCTTTTTCAGTTTCAACTGGTTTTTCTTCACACATACACAAATAAATCGCCGCACACCCAATTGTGTCTGACATGGCACCTTGTTGTTCTTTGTATGGAGGAAGATTGTCAAAATTAACAAGTTCATTTTGAGCAGCCTTTCTGCATTTACGAACAGATTTTCAGCTGTAGAAATGTTCTAGTCTCTTGTGTCACACCCACTCCTTTCTTCATATGCACCTACATCAACTCCATCGTCAAGTCTATCATTGTTGTCACTACTTTCAGTTACCATATGATGATGACGTTCACATGTGAATTTCTACTTATCCCAGAATTTACGTTTTCTGCGCTAAATTCGCTGTCCGATTCTGAATAATCAATACTACTTGTCTGGTTTTCATCATCAGACATGATAAAAAAGGCTGAATATGCGTTGGTAATAAAAATTATCAAAATTTCACTGAAAACAATGCTTGTATCAGCTTAAAGCGGTATCGATTAGGGCGCAGCCATCTAGGAATAAATAACAAAAACACACAGATGCAATTCAATAAAAAAAAAAACTATCGGTACTGACATCAGTCGGCAGATGATCGTCGAAGTTGGTCAGCAAAGTGTTGAGAAAGAAAAAGTTACTTATCAGATGAAATGCTACAGAAAGATTATCAGAACACCATGGACAAAAAAAAAGAGAGAAAAATACTGATATTTTAAAACATCTAGAAATCAAGGAAGATTGTCTTGAAAGCCGAAATATTTTGGTCCGATAAAGCACCATGGTAACTGGAAGAAAAATTATAGCAGAAGGCATAGTACCAGGAAAGGGGAGCAAGGGCCAACCAACACAAAGATGGGTACAGGATATTAGTGACTCCTTGAATATAAAAGTGCACGAGGTGGGAGAGCTGTGAGAGACTGAGTTTCTTTCGGGCAGACAGTGATTAGAGCGACGTTCTACAAAGAACCTAATATATTATGATATTAGCACACATGTTAATGTTGACTTCAAAAGAAAACAAATGTGACAGGCACAAAAACCTGTCTCTTCCTCCCTTTGTTTCCTTGGATGTTGAAAATGTTCATCTTATCAAAATTAGCAGTGAAAAATTGAATTTTGTGTCCTGGTTCCTTAAGATGAGCTGTTCTGACAAAAACATCTCTATGACTGTAATGACAGGAAAAAACACCTCTGCATGGCCGTACCTTATCCTTGAGTGATTCCATGACACCTGCCGTAGTGCCTGTGCAGTGGATCAACACAATACCCAGCACCCGATCAGGCTGGGCCATCTGGAGAGGGATAGAAGAGGTCATATTGATTGTATCATAAGTGCAAATCCTCCTCTTTGCATATAAGTCAGTTTTAACTCACTGGGTACCAAGAAGTGCATTGAGAATTGATATATAACTAATTCAACTGTCCTCTGATACCAGAGAAATTTAAATACTCAACAGTTTTTAAAATACAATAATTAAGATTAAAAGTGAACATCCTACAAGTGGTTAAGAAAAAAGTAAACAAAATCATGATGCAAAAGTTATTTATGCATCCACTGTTGACACGTACGCACGCATGCATGCACACAAAAACAACAAACAAACCATGGAAAGAAAACTAGCCAAGATGTCTTGTTTTAAAAATTCATTAACTTCACAGGTCCCTGAATAATGGAGCATCTATGGATCTGGCCAGAGTGCTGTGATGATAATCTTTACAAATCAGAATAAACTTACAGAAGTAACTTTATTCTAAATACTAGACTGGCAAAAGAAATGAAATAATATTTCTCCTACTTCCTTCTTCTGCTTACTCTCCACCATGCCATATGTTTATTCTGATTTGTAACGATTATCATCACAGCACTCTGGACATATCCATAGATGCTCCATTAGTTTCAGGAGCATAAAATGACTAATGACTGATGTCTGTTCTGTGCCAACTAATCAAACAACGTGCTTTTGGTAAAATGTTAATTTCTTGTAGCTCCAGGATGCACCCCCATGTCCATCAGCCTGGACAGGTATACACAGTTATGCCCTTCATCTTATTCATCTTCAAGGTAAGCACAGTCAACAGGAGGCTCGCTCTCAAATCCAGCTGCGACTCACTGCAGCCACGGTCAGTGTTCGAAACCGGGCAGTTTCCAGGGTTCACCCAGCCTCTAGGAAATATACCAAAGTTGACACTCTAGGGCAAATGGAGGAACGCCGCTGTAGCTACAGAGTTACATGCGGATGGTTACACAGGCTGACAGCTTCTTATCAACTGTCCGTACTTGTGGCAGAGCACTTATGGTTTATAACCGTGTGCAATGACGCTTGACCTTACCTTTTTTTTTTTTAACCTTTACCTGTCCAGTCCTAGACAAGTCATAGAAAATGCAGTTTTTACCAGAGAAACCATTCTTGTCAGTCAAATCCAAGCCTGTGCCTCAAGAGTGACTGTGCCTAATCAATCACACATTCAACAGGCATAAAAAATATTTAGTTACTTCAGGTAAATAAATAGCTGCAGTGAACACTAACTACAGTTAGTTACAGTGGTGTTTTTTTTGCAGCAGATCATTTTTAAAAAGTTATAAATAGCACAAATAAAACTAGAAATGGCAGCCATATTACATGTACAGAATTCTGGAAAGAATTATCTTCATATATTATGAAGATAATACATATATATATACATACATACATATAACATATACAAGGTCCGAACATAAAGTAATGAGACTGATTTTATTACGGCCAATACAAATAATACATATATATATATACATACATACATATAACATATACAAGGTCCGAACATAAAGTAATGAGACTGATTTTATTACGGCCAATACAAAAGTGCCATCTGTGAAACAAAGCATGGAATCCAAAGAGGCAACCTTCGTCTATGATCTGGCAACTTTGCATCACTGCCTGATAAGCAGATGAGAAACAAGCTGCCATTTCACTGACCTAGTTAGATGTGCATTGTTACGAACTCAGCATAGAGCAAAAAGCTAACATTAAATTCTGTTTAAAACTCAGAAAAAGTGCCATTGAGACAGTTGAATTGATGTGGTGGTTTCACGATTCAAAAGTGGTGTAGAAATGATTGCTAATGCAACTAGACTTGGACCCACAATTTCTATTTGTAATGATGAACTCATTGGAAAAGTCACAGAACAGATGCAAGAAGATTGTTGTTTTACTGTCAGGATGATGGCAGATAAATCTGTTGTTAATAAAGAGACCCTTTGTAAAATTTTAATGCAAAATTTTGGCAAGAAGAAAGTTTCTTGCAGGTTTGTACCGCATTTGTTGTCAGATGACTAAAAACATCAGCGGGTTGAGCACCCATGAGACATCATCAAAACAGGAATGTTTGGCCCCAAAACAAGTGTGTGTTCTCAACCATAAACCCTATTCCCCAGATTTGTCTCACTGTGTTAATTCTCTATTCCCAAAATTGAAATTACAGTTGAAAGGAGGCTTCATTGACGATATTGATGACATCAAAAGGGCCCTAACATTGACATTAAGGATCATAGTGACAGAAGAAGTACAGGGGTCGTTTAAGTGTTTGTTAGATCGTGCCACTTGCTGTATCAATGCACAAGGGGCTTACTTTGAACAAAATACAGATTATATCTTCAACTGTTGATTATTTTAATTTTTATAGAATTAGTCTCATTACTTAATTGTCGGATCTTGTATATCGCTCGCCTGCTTTGTGTGTGTGTAATTTTGTTGTTGCTTTGTTTTTGACACCTTTCCATCTTCCCAGACGATAGTGTTATACTGTGCTATGTGGGAGTATGAGAATCATAGCCCATGGTGATGGGGAGTGTGACTAGCAAGACTGCCCGCATTTTATATTTACAAAAAGCAACGGTAAGATCAGGAAAATAAGTGTACAAATAAGTTTTTCAACTACCTATATATCTGAATACAGGGAAAGGATATAAACTCCGGCAAATAAAGTATATATAAAAATGCTCTTGGGTTCAACATCTGCTAAAGTCAAAGTGTCTGTCTTGCAACACCAAGATCAAAATATATAAAACGTTGATAAGACCAGTCATTTTATATGGCTCTGAAACTTGGAGCACAACTAAAAGAGTTGAAGCCTTATTACAGGTTTTTGAAAACAGAGTCCTACGACAAATCTTTGGACCCATCAAAGATGCAAACAGTGGTGAATGGACAGTGAGAAGCAACAACAAAAATTCATGTTTTAATCACCATTGACCTCTGGCATCATGAGAGCTCATAGACTGAAATGGTTGGGGCACATTGAAATAATGTCAGATGAAAGAGAAATAAAAACTGTATACACTAGGGAGATGAATGGTGGTAGACCACGAGGCAGAGAAAGAAGGCGATGGAGAAATAATATCCAATCAGACCTGCAAACACTTGGTGTCATCAAATGGAAAGAGAAGGCCAACCAGAGAGATGAATAGAGGCGGGTGATATCTGTGGCAATGAACCTCAAGGGCTCGGAATGCTAAAGAAGAAGAAGATATAGCTGAATAGAAAGTATAATACAGCATTAAAGAAAAAAGAAGTATTCGAAAAACTAGGACTGAAGAAACCACTTGGTGAGCTTAAAGTCTAACAAGGTATGCTAGCCACACACACAAAAACACAGTACTGTAGGAATGTAAATAGAATAATCAGAAGAACAGATTAAGCACATTTCACTAGAGCTTCCAAAGAGTCAACAAAGGGAAGAAAAAAAAACTGCTAGTGCAAACTAAACAGAAATAACATGAACCACCTACAAATGTAAAGTCAAACAAAGGTAAATACACTACACTTGAATGTTAGTAGAAAGCATGATAAGGGGAAAAACAAGAAAAGTAAAAATACTTACTGCAAATCTCACAATGATATTTGCACCAGCTCCCTCTCCCAAACCAATTACTTGCTTCACACTGAAAAGAACAAAGACACTGTTACACACAGACAGAATGACATAGCACAATTAATCTCCAAAATGAAATCAACAGATCTACAATTGCAAGATACAGTATGCATGTATGTGTCAGGAGAAGCATGACAGTTTAATGAGTTTCAAGCTGACTGCATGGTTTTTCTCTTAAGCAGTGAGATGATAATGTCACAAATGAAGACAGCTGTTATGTTTTTCTAAAATGTTCTGTCATCAACACTTCTGCTGCAGTTGTAACTGCCTTTATCTCTGTTCTGGTAGTTGAAAATTTTTCAGCTGCCACAAAGATTTTTTTTTTCTGTCTTTCTTTAGAATGAGAAGGATTACTCCACCTCCATTTTGTGTTGGACCCTTGCTGATCTATCTGTGTATGCTCATTGATTCAGATGTCACTGTTAGCATTTGCATGTTATTTTATATTATGCTTCATATAGTTTATTCTGGGTTTAAAATTCCAGACTAATCAGCCCGGATACCAAAATGAATTTCAGTAAAATGCTCTTTATAGCATAAAATGACAAAGTATATTAAGTACCATCTTAGGTATATGACAGCTCAGTTCAGCTGCACTAAAAATCGATAAAAGAACATGTCATAGTGCACTTCAACATTTCTTTCCAAGTAAGAACATTGATGTAATGTGTCACAACTGCTAAGATGCAGATTTTTATTATCTATTTCCATTTTATACATTACATGTACAAATATATCTGCCTTTCAAAAACCATCCTGACACACACCAGCAATGGAACAAATGAAATAATATTTGTTTTACTGTTTTGTTACTATACGTACAAAAGTATGTTTCCTTGCTTTTAGTTCTAGTGATTTCTAATGTTGTCTGTCTCCATGTCATATGTTGAAATGGTGACACCTGAGTAGTTTGGGTTTTCTTTAAAATAAAGTTTTTTCCCTACAAACTTGAGGGTTTATTAGAAAGAAAGAAAAAAAAAAAGGGGGGGGGGGGGGTTTGCACATCATCAGGTGCCTTGCCGACTGGGGTGGGCGATCATGCCTCTCCATAATCTGCGATCTCCTGCAGCATGTATCAGTTCGTGTGCCGACACACCTCCATGCCATGCAACAAGACTGTCAAGCATCTTCTCTCGTTGTCTTCCTCTATCCCTCCTTCAACAGATTTCCAGTGGTCACATCATGTTCTATTTTTCCTCTACTCATAACATGGCCGAAAAATGATGACTGTCTCCTTCTGATGTCTGTGATAAGTTGTCTTCGGGCTCCCGCCTCTTTCAAAACCTCTTGGTTGCTCTTTTTGGCAAGGTATTCTAAGCATTCTTCTGTAAAACCACATCTCTGAGGCCTCTAGAAATTGTTTGGCCTGCCTACCGATAGTCCAGGATTCACAGCCATATGTTAAAACTGGATGTATGTAGGAAGCAAGAATTCTTTTTCTAACTCTCAATTACAAGGATATATTGCACAAGATGCACATTGTATTTTATTCACAGGTGATGCTTTGCCAGGGCTAAACCTATATTTATTCCAATACTGATTTATGTTGAAATGTCCATCTTCTTCTTCTTTTTGTTCTTTCATTTAATTCATTGAATTTTGTTTGGAAAAAGGGGGGGGAGGGGGGGGGGAGGGGTGTCAAGATCTTTTGTGTGCTTTTCTTTCCAATGCATCCTATAAGTTGATCTTTATTTCCATAACAGCTAAATACAGCACAAAATACAATTAGAAAGCTTGACGGATGAAATGAAAAAGTCCAGCACAAATACAACCTAATGTTGTATTTGTCAATGAGGACTAAATATATTTACCTTTTCTTTCTGATGTTTTTCTGCCATACATTACTTTAATGACAACTAGGCAGTTTCTCATTCCAGCAGTTTTTTTATTTATTTGTCTTATTCCTCAAAGAATAAATCCAGTGACTGCAGCATGGGATGCAGGCATGTTGAACCACATATGGTGGCATACCTGAAGCAAGACTCATAGAGATCAAAATGTATCTACACCTCTCCATTGCCAGCCTAGAAAAACAGGTTTTATACCTATGCAGATAGTGTTGATGTTTCTTACAAAGTTAAAGTGCATCTGCTTAAGAGGGTAGAAACCAACAGTCAGCATTCCCCCCCCCCCCCCCCCCCCCCCCCCCCCCCCCCCCCCCCCCCCCCCCCCCCCCCCCCCCCCCCCCCCCCCCCCACCCCCCCCCCCACCCCCCACCCCCCCCCCAGGTAACCACCCCCCCCCCCAGAATGGACACAACCCCCCCCCCCCCCACCAAAAAAAAAAAAAACACTGTAAAACAATTTGGACTTCTCGCTGGAATTTACAACTGGTCAATGTTAAGAAGAAGAAGAAATCTGCAACATAAGTTTCCCAATATTCAGCAGTTAATTTCAGTCATTTTAAGTACCAACATTTTATGAATACTTTTTCTGTGTAAATGTAAATCAGTCTTATTGAGCTCAGTTCAGTAGCTGCTGAATGAATGAATCCATCAGTGAATAAGAGCTGACATCACTACACTCAGGAATCCAACAATGTGAACAGACAAAAACAAACTTGTTTGTCTAATCTTTAAAAGCCTGTACCAGATATTAGAAGAGAGGATTCAACAAAAACACACTACTCAAGAAGAACCAAACAACCAAAACACAAACAGCAACAACAACAACAATTACACTCCACCGCCCCTGTTTCTGAACTTTCATGACACATTGCTACAGCACTAATACTAATGTATAAGCAGCTCCACTTTGGACAATGTATGCTCCAATAACAGAAAACTTACTCCAGCTGGTCAAGGACACACACTAGATCTTCTCCAAGACTTTGCATCGTGGGAAAAGTGTAACTGGAAGAAAGACAAAAGAAGTAAAATCAATTATTATCAAATATTACACATAATGGTACTTGATGCATCAGTGAAAGTACAAAAGATGTTTAACTGCACAAAGTAGGACACCTTGTGTTTACCGCTTTAAACTAAACAGGATATGCCATTTACATAGGCGGCGTAGACGGGGGAGACGGAGGCAGAAGTTTTGAGGCCACAAGGCTAGTGCTGTTGCCACTGAATTTCAATTTTTGTTTTTGCTTGCAATAGAAAAATCCATAACCTTACTGAGGATTTGAACCCAATTCTCCCCCAGGAAAGCTCAGCATTCTAACCCTTCAGGCAGCCACTCCGCCAACAAATGATATACTTTTATTCATTCCTTCTGTCCCACCCAGTTGTTTACTGGACTCTCCCTGTCCTATTGGTACCTGACATTTTCTGTAACTGCTTCTCATCATAGACTGTGTACAAGAAATAAGTTCTTTTAACAGGATGAGTTGAAGCCCCTTTTGTTTGAAACTGAAAGAGTTAAAACACAGTTATGAGTTAAACATAGCTACACTAAAATAAAAAAAAAAAAAAAGGCATAATTATATTCATTTAAAATATCACCATCTGCCTTCTGCTGAGACGTGTGCTCTAATTACCTAGTGAAATTATAATACAATGGTTTATTATTAACACTTTAAACAAAAAAATTCATATTCTGGCTGCTTTTTAAATGTTGCTTTCAGCTGTGAACTTCTGAAACACACTAGCTTATGGGTGTCAATATTTTCAGGTATTACAAACATATAAAAACGTATTCAGACTGTAGGCTGGCATGACCCTGACCCTAGGATAGGTCACAACTCAAAGCTTATAGCCTAGAAGCTAGATTATATAATACCTAAAGGTTTGAGGACTCTAAAAATGTCACTTTTATCTCTAAAGAAACCTCGTTTCCTCCTACTGATTGTAAAAGATTACATTTACCTCATGAAGAGATCTCTTTTCTTACTTCCTCAGACTGTGTAATAAAATGAGTTTCTCATGAGATAATAGAGCAAAAGCAGTTTCTCAGTTTTCTCGATCATAAACTACGTAGACCCGGCAAAGGTCTCAATGTGTGTACCAGATTTCACACATATAAATATAAATATTCTAATGCTGGAAAGCTTTACCAGGGAAGTGATCTATAAAACTGTAAGCTCATTATTTCCAGCTACCTAGAAATTGTCAATGTGCACAGGAGATCGTTTTGTTATCAAAGAAGGCTGGTCATCCAATCCACTACCTAAGAATCAGGAAGAAACAAAGAGTTCTTGGACAACTAGACTGCAAATATCATCCACAGTTTGGATTTCACCAAAGTACCATGTGAATTAGAAAGGAATATCATTCCTATAAGCAAAACCATCTGTTATCCTAATTTTAATGATATCCACACATGAAGCAATACCAAGGATTAGTGTTTCAGTCTGATATGTGCAGTAGTGATGTGCAGGCAAACAGGCATGCACTTACAAGTAACAGCCACTTTTATGTCATTTTTAACTATCTCATATAAGACATACAGATAAACAATAACTGCAACAAATGCAAACAGTCAAAACAAACAGTATTATAAAAATCCATCAACCAAAATTAAGTTCACAAGTTATTGACAATTTCTCGTTGTGAAATTTAATTAACAGAAAATATTACTATGTTATATGATTTTTCTGGGAAACATAAAAACTGCTTCCCTATTCAACAGTCAACATACTGCAGGGTAATATGTTTGCACGTGTGTATGTATCTGTGTGTATATGTGAGGTAAGTAAATACCTTTACAGCAAGGTGCAATCACTAATCATGTCTTAGTTCTGCTAGGTTCCTGAACTAAGCAGCTTAAAAATGATTACTGCATCATACATGTAGTCACAAAAAAGAATCAGATGTTCAATTTTTGCCCATTGCTATTTAAAATTCAACATGAACCCAAAGCTGTTCATGGTCCAAACATGACATTGTGCAGGACATGAGAAAATTGTGTGTATTTAGCTTGACAGACAAATTGTAACAGTGGATGTTTTACAGCAGATGATCTTTTTCCCTGCAGTTAAGGAACATTTGCTGCCCATTACAATATGTCACAAACAGATTTAGAAGAACTCTATTCATTCATGTGGCATAATCTGCCATGCTTCATGGCTGTTAGGACACTAAAATTATGCAGATGGATGACATGCAAAATCATACTTTATCGACTGCTTGAGAATAACTCATTATGAATAAATCCCTACCGAGAAATCTTCTGAAGTAAATCACTCTGAGCCAATCATTGGCATGGAAGTATCTTGCAACAGAAATTCACAACCAACCAGCCATGGGGAAAAATGATGTCAACTGTGTTTTTGTATATGCTTTGTGTGTTTCTGTTGGATTTCACTAATTCTAATGCAACAGTAAGCTTCCGCTGATCCAGCAGTAACACTGATCGACTACAAATGGCCCACAGGCGCAATAACTAAACCAATTAACTGACTGGGGACAACAACATTTCCTTTGAGTTTACTTCTTCAGTAACTCAATAATTTGAAATCAGTTTTCCCAAATGGTGAAACTCATTCAGAATGTTCATATGTATGATGTTAAATTAAATGTTCAAACCACTCAAGTGTATGGAAAATTACATCCTGAAGACCATTGATTTCAAGCCAATAATAAAGCAATTTTGTGACATAAATGTCACAATTGTTTGTTATTGTAAGAGGTCCAAAGTTATTTCATACTGTGCCATTTACGTTTATGTTTTAACACCAGTCTTGTTGAAATACTGGTAAAATGAATGTATGTTTAAAATTATCGACCATTTACATTTCATTTCTGTTAGTAGTAGTCATATGGGCCCCTGCATGGTGGTTTGTCCAGGGGTCCATAATGTTGTTCAGATGGCCCTGTCATTGTCACAGAGTATCACATGTCTAAATGTTTATATTTACAATTTACACATACATAATTATTCACCTTAACAAAGGTACACGGAATGTTCAGTTGACAACCCTAGTTTGTTGACTGTTGTTAAAAAAAAAAGGTGTTTCAAAAGGCCACACAATTAGCTACACTGCACTGTGTTTTACCCCATATGACTCAAGCTTCCATAGACAGCTAGCTGAGAGCACCGCACAAAGCTCACACTCCCTAGTTCCTGTAATAAACTTCCCTCCTTCAGGTATTTAAAAAAAACTTGCGTGTGTGAACTGAATGACCAAAATCCAAAATCAAACTCACAACCTTCAAAACGCCAGATACATAAAGTAATCCCTTTGCCAAGAAGATTGCTTAAAACTAAAGATAATGTATTTCAGGATTAAAATCCTCAGTGAAGATCACACAGCAAAGTACAAAAGGATCAAGATGAGATGAGTCAGTATGAACAATATTAGAGTCATTTTGACAGAGAACTCTTCTTCTCAGCAGCATCTTTTATTCATACCAAAGTATGCTTTGTGTTCTTGCTGAGCCATCTGTCCAGACTATAGTACTAGAGAGTAATCTATTTCATCCTCCATTCAGTCAGTCAGTTACTTCCCTCTCATGTATGTGTCAGATAACGTTTTTCTATAGCAAACTGCAAACTGTTCAGGTTCAACCAGCTGCCATAGGGAATTAACCGAAATATTTCCGATTTATAGCTAGTGTGCTTGACACTTTTGTTTTTATATTTGAGCTGCATAATTCTAAGGGATTTCAAGATCCCAGGGCCTGGTTTGCAATGGTTTCATGTGAATACTTATCAGTCATGATTCTCCTAATTTTTGTGGTTTTAGTGACATGTGATTACACAGTAAACTACTGTTTCAACAACACTGACACTGCCTTGGCTTTTACATCAGCAGGAATAGCAGAACACATGTTAATTCTACTGTCAGGATAAAATGATTCAAGGTAATAGGCTATGCTATACATGATTATCTAACTGGATTTCAAAACTGAACTGTTGGAAACCCTGCTTACAAAATGATCACATTGCGTTATGCCAAATAAACAAAAGATAACAAAAATATATGAGCAGATAACAAAGGACTCCAGCCTGAATCTATAATCAAAACAATGGTATCAGTGAAGAAAGTAGACAAAGCCCATGTATGAATGAATGAATGAACGAATAAAGCCCGGCTCATTAGCGTAGTTGGTTAAAAATAACTGCGTGGCGACCAGGTTAGGAACTCCTTGTGGTCTGGATTCACGCCCAGGGGTAGGCAGAAAAGCCACATTTCTGCCAGATTTACGGTACCTTTCATAGAATCAAAGCCGAAGAGTAGCGATAGCCATAGTACCAAACAACTCATGATTTCTGGATATTTAAAAAATAAACAATAAAAAGAATGAATGGATCAAAAACATCACTGCACTTGGGACATTCCCATTCATAGATGCTCTATCCCCTTCTTCAGTAGCCAACGTAGAGTGGTCATGCTAGTAGTTCAATTGTCCAAAGCATGCTCTGTGAGTCTCTTTTTCTTCTTCAACATTTCAAACCCTTGAGGTTCATTGCTGCAGATATCACCCGCCTGCATTCCTCTCTCTAGTTGTCCTTCTCTTTCCAGTTGGTGACACCAAGTGTTTGCAGGTCTGACTAATTTATCTATTTCCTCAACAATTTCAATCTGGCTATCTAGCTCAACTCATTGACCTCAACCACTTCTATTAAATTAAACTTTTCTTTCATCACAGACTTCCTGTGTTTAAAGACTACAGTACTACCAATCTTTATATACTCAGAGCTATCTCCTCTAAACATTGTCACATCCATTTGTATAAAACACGTCTATTCATTATTCAGACCTTATCGGTCAGTTTCCCTAGTGGTTCTTATAAATTAAGGAAGCATTTACTGGTCAGTGGCAAGACCTAATCTATGCTGTAAATCTGCAAAAGATGCAACAAGGCATATACTGGCGATAGTGGCAAGAAGCTAGGTGATCGGTTCAGTGACCAGCATTTAGATATTGAAAAGAAGGCATTTAAACCGGTCTGTCTCCATTTCA